AGCAGCAGATGAGAGGGTGGGGGGGAGTGGGGGGTAAAACACAGTGGCACGATAAAAAGACTGAGGCTGGATGGAAAATGTCACGTCGGTCTGACACAACCTTTTATTTCACAGGTTTATGGACGTGTTTATGGAGATGTGAGCGCTGTGTTGTCGTAAATACAAATGTAAATACAAATATAAATATAAATATAAATGTCCACTGGTGTATTTCTCTGACGCGACCTTTAGAAACATCAGCTTTACGACTGGTTCTTGGGGGAAAAGTTCAGACCCATTTACTGGACCTGATTCACAAGAATGGTCCACAGTGGTGGAGTGGTGTTTTTATGTTATTGCCTAACAGGAAAAAAGTCAGTGGTTTGATTCCCAGCTCTCACTGCTGGTGCGGCCCACGTCCACAGGTTTCATTGTTGTTGTTTTGAGTGTGGAGGAAGTGGACCAACAACAAGGTTCATTCTTCACCACATTCTCCATGGTAACGACCATCATGTTAGTCTCCATGGTAACGACCATCATGTTAGTCTCCATGGTAACGACCATCATGTTAGTCTCCATGGTAACGACCATCATGTTAGTCTCCATGGTAACGACCATCATGTTAGTCTCCATGGTAACGACCATCATGTTAGTCTCCATGGTAACGACCATCATGTTAGTCTCCATGGTAACGACCATCATGTTAGTCTCCATGGTAACGACCATCATGTTAGTCTCCATGGTAACGACCATCATGTTAGTCTCCATGGTAACGACCATCATGTTAGTCTCCATGGTAACGACCATCATGTTAGTCTCCATGGTAACGACCATCATGTTAGTCTCCATGGTAACGACCATCATGTTAGTCTCCATGGTAACGACCATCATGTTAGTCTCCATGGTAACGACCATCATGTTAGTCTCCATGGTAACGACCATCATGTTAGTCTCCATGGTAACGACCATCATGTTAGTCTCCATGGTAACGACCATCATGTTAGTCTCCACGGTAACGACCATCATGTTAGTCTCCACGGTAACGACCATCATGTTAGTCTCCACGGTAACGACCATCATGTTAGTCTCCACGGTAACGACCATCATGTTAGTCTCCATGGTAACGACCATCATGTTAGTCTCCATGGTAACGACCATCATGTTAGTCTCCATGGTAACGACCATCATGTTAGTCTCCACGGTAACGACCATCATGTTAGTCTCCACGGTAACGACCATCATGTTAGTCTCCACGGTAACGACCATCA